AGCACTGATTCTGGTAATCGTAAACCGTGCCGGGGCTGTGTTGAATAAGGCCGAGGTATCTTTGATGATTGTCTTGACGCCGGAGGTGAATTTCGGTCTGGCTGTATCCAGGAACTCCTCAACAAAATGCGTAGTATCATCAATTACCTTGTCCATGCTTTCTTGCCAGCCCTTGACAGGGTCGGGGAGCGACCGCTTGATAAACTTGGTGATGCCGGCCTCCTGGCGCATGTTTCTATCACCATAAATCTTCAGCATATGGGGCCGTTCGATGTAGGCAATGAAATAGATGGACAGCAGCTGAGTGGTAAGCGCGAGAAGGAATATCGATCGGCTCCAGGTTATCAGAGCCGCACCCCATACTCCTGCGATGCCGAGGGTCTTGTCCGGGTTGTTTAAGAACCGATATACCCCGTTCTGGTAGGTCAGCTTGGCCTTTTGGTCAAAGAAGAAGTCGCCAAATGACCAACCATATTCGCCCAGAGACGAATATATGCTCATGGCTACAGAAATCTGCAGTGCTACCAAGCTGAACCCTATGACATGCTTGAGCAAGACGAGGCCATAGCTCCAGTCCTCGGGGAAGCTATACATCTTCCAGCATGCGGCGACGAAGGCTGTATTGCACATGACCATACTAACATGGTGCATTGCTTTCCACTGCCGCCAGGCCTCATCCAGGCTCTCCCCAAACTTGACGAAATGCCGGGTGAACATCTTCGAAGTTGATTGCTTGTCCAGGATGATGCCCAATCCAAGGTGATACCAAACACGCCAGAAGAAAGCATGAATCACGAAGATGGCTTGCCAGAAGGAAGTTGAAGGGGTTGCGAGGGCAAGCACGGCAATATACATGGGCACGATGACGACAACACAATCGGTGACCCGAAACAAGTCAATGTTCTTCAAACCCACCATGTTGTGTACCGGGATTGGGGGCTCCAGGGTGGCATTGTTGGCTGGCGGCTGATCCGGCGAGCTCGGCCCTGGCGACTGGGTTACGCCCACCGAGGGCTCATTCCGACTCCCAGATTTACTCCGTGGCCGTGGCGCAGGGGGGTTATACGTCCGATCAATGTGAGGATTCTCCACGGCAGCGAGGAAGGCAAATTGAGCAAGGTGAGCAAAAATGGAGATGAAGAGGACCTCGTAGCTGGCAGCCATGATCGAGATACCGTAGTAGCCAATATAGCCAATTGAGTACATGGGATGTGGCACGAGTTCAAAGATGCCATCAAAGGTCAGGTCTTGATCAATGAGGTAGAAGAAATCGGCCCAGTGCCATGCGTAGGTCAGAGTGCGATGAGCTGAGAGCTTGGCCCAGAGGTTGATACCAATGAAAGTGATACCCAGAGCCCAACGGCCAAGCCCGGCAATGAAGCTCTCGTTATGGGGGGCATGACCACAGATGATTGCGAAAAGGCAGTAAGAAGTGAAGTCACACATCAAGATCAGGTCGACGACTCGGCGAAAAACGAGCCATGTGTTATACTCGATCGGGGCCTTATCAAAATCATAGTCCTCAAGATTCACGTGTAGGGTTTCACATTCGCGTTTCACCAATGCATACAGCCGGTTCGGCTTGCCGTCAGCAGGGGGCTCAAATATTTTCTGCTTTCGAGCCCATGTGACCATGCGCCGGTGGTGAGACTGGACGTGAAGAAGCATCCCGATACCGGCATTGTATGAGAGTCTCCAGAACACGAAGATTGAGGCAAGCACGGGTTTCTTAAGACCGGAAGGAAGATAGTAGGCAACCAACACATGCAAAGCCATAATGGAGAGGATGAGAAGATCCGAGACATTCTTGGGCAACCGAGGGTCCAGAAGTTGCGAGACCATGTCATGAGTATCAGCCACAACAAACACTATAGAGGCAGTTGCAGGTGAGCATCGATTCTTTGAGCAGGGCACTAGTCGACAGTCGGGGAAAGATTGAGCGTAGGAGTAAAGGGAATGAATTCGTACCTGTGCCGTTTGGAGTGCGCCCGTACGTTTTGTTTTGGGCCTTCACATTAACATGTGCCTCGTCAACTTGCTGTTTCGGGCTTTCGAGATCCTGTTTGGAGCTGGCGGGAGGATGGTGTCTCTGACGAAGACTCCCCGAGTCTGGCCCCAGGTCATCCTTAGCTGTGGAAGCCATATTTGATTGCGACGTCCGAAACGATCTCTTGCCAAGATGCAACGCGAGGAAAAGAATAAGAAGGGCAGCTAAGCCCGAGAATGGAGGAGTCAATTGGGTTGGAAATGGGAAGGCAAGGCCAACAACAACAAGAAAATTTTGAAGAGAACAGGACGAATGGAAACAAGAAAGGTCGAGAAGAGAAGAGGCAAGGCTTTAGGATCGGCCGGAAGAAGTCCCCGCTTGGTAGCTGCAAGCTGGATGTGGCCGTGTTATAGCCAGGTTTGTTGGGGATAGTCGGGCGGGACGAGTTGAATCTAGCCCGCACCTTCCAAGCACGCAGTTGATGCGGCTTTTAATTTTTAATTGGATCGCTTGGTGTGTCTCTGCTGGAGATGGATAAGATTATGCTCAAGACATTCACATGTGATTGTCGAGGTGGAAGATGAAGGAAAGAGGACGACGGCGGTGCTAGGCCCGGCCCTTAGTTGGCCCTTTGTCCTCTCGCTAATGGCCTCTGTGGGGCTGTGCTGGGTCACCGGCCATTAGCAGTCCGGGCCTGTCATTGGTGGGGGGTAGGCCACCTGGTCCACTTTAAAGCACCACAGCACTATTGGCCCCGCCTGTAGGGCACTACAACGCCTGAGAGGTGCAGCTTCCAGGTCTCTAGCGACTCTGGCTAGAAGCGGCCCATTCTTACATGACGTTTTCTTGGTGAAAGGTGACGCATTCGTATTGGCCCTTGTGCTGCGCTGCATCTAGCCACCACCAATGCTTTGTGCCAATGGACCAGGTGCTTGCTCTGCTTTCGCTAGACAACCGCTTCCGACCTGCATGCAAGCATGGCCTCGATTGGTTTGTGCCTGGCTGTCAAGCCTGTCAGTGCTGGTGAAGGAGGTCTAGGCTCGTCCCCGCCAGCCCCAACGCATTGCCCGCCCCAGTCCCGCTAACGACCGATAAATCACCTGGCTGTGAGCACGCGAGCAAAAGAAAACACAAAAAAATAGTCCGCTTGGCATGTTGACTCAGCCTGGGCATCATTCTTCTGTCACCTCGATTGATTATTCTTCTTGTGGTAGCACAATCCGTGCATTGTCTTCTCGTGTCCGTACGGAACGAATCAAACACCTCCCTTGCCAGCGGGAGAGGAGTGGACGCTGACAGCTGGCTTCTGCTGACCTTTTTACACCCTAGGATAGAATATAGAATAGCACCAACGAGTTAGTTAGCCCTGACATGGGTTCGAGGACAGATTGTGAAGATATTGGTGGAATTCTTGTGGGGGCTCAGTGCATCATCAGGGCTCAGGCTCGCTTGGAAATTTACTGAATTGAGTCCATCTTTAGCCTATGAATCTGCGAAGATGCCACCCTGCTTCGGTCCATACAGAACGTACAGCTTCTGGATAAACGAGATGGTTTCCTATAGTTCTCTCTCCGTCCCTCTTGAGTAGGTTGGGCAATTGATCATCTCGGCACTTCGCCGTGATTCAAAGAGGCTGTCGGCATGCTAAGTGGATGGCTTTAACACAACACAACACAACACAACACAACACAGAACAGACCGCTAATACGCAGACGACAGCCCAATTGGGCGGCAAGAGCCAGAGATCGAATCAAGCTGATGGGTACGGCGTATCCAACGCCGAATCCGGCACGTCTCGGATGCAACCGAAAAGGTGCGGCAGGGATGAACACAAATATCCTCAACAAGAGGCATCGGATATTACTCGAGGAAGATGATAGGGTGCTCAGATACGTCTGTAGGCTGCCAAGGATTTCACCGCCAGCTCGAGGCATAACATTAGTGCCTGAACTTGATAGTATGTTTCGAGCATTCTATGACTTGGTAAGAGACTTAGAAGGTAAGGAGATCTATTTGAGTGCAGATAATAAATCTGGAAACTAGATAAGTGGCTGTAGGTATGCATGGAGAGGGCAAGGAATTTGTGAATTTGAGAAGGACGAAAGACTTCACTCTTCAATGCTTCTTAGTCCGCCCGAGTAAACATCAATGCATTAGCTGCTCGTATTCGTTCACTTGGTGGGAGGTTGAAAGATGAACATGCAATTCGGAGGATTGGACGATTCATTCAAGCGGTCGAACGGCTTCCCTTGAGCCAGTCCAGGCTAAATTAAGCCGGGCTGTCGCGAAATGGGCATGAATGAAACACTTGTAATTTTTGAGAATATAAACATTTTTGAATAAATGAAATCAATGTCTGACATCAGAGACAGAGCTATTGCTTGATTCCATACCCACGTCCTGGAAACCGCACTCGCCGGGACCTGCGTGGAGGGGGATGGTGGGGTTTCCTGCTCCTGTTGGAGATCATAAAAGTGGCTCCGGTGGCTGTGAGACTTCGGGCGAATAATGTACAATACAGCTGTCCCATGTGCGTCATCGAGTGGTCCCCTAGTAATTTTATCCAGAGGATGCTAACGGACCTCTAACACGCCGATAAATAAGCATCGGCTGCCCACCGTAACGCTCGTCGACTTCACCTCAAACGTCTGCCTGACAATGGACCAGTAGAGTCCGTTAGCGCTCGCCGCAGCATCGTGGAATCCCGGCCCCCGCCAGCTATTCCTCCCCCCAAACCCGCCCGCCTGCGTGAACCTCGACACCGACATCTCCGAGACGCAGCGAAAGCATAACCAGCAATGCGTATATACCTGCTGCCGCTCTCCACGCGGCGCACGCTGCTGTACGCCCACCGAGTCCATATCTCGACGACGGACACGAACCAGAATATCGCCGACAAAGTCGTCGGCTTCGCCGCCAAGAAGTGGGCCGAGTACGAGAAAAAGGAGTCTGGCTGGCAGCGCAAGCTCGTCGACTACGGGAACCATGCGTTCCGCCGGATCCCCTACGAGGAATGGGGCCTCAAGTCCATACCTCCTCTGTCCAAGCGGAGGCGCGCCGAGGAGCTCGGGGGCCAGGACGACGTCGAGCTGGTGTACCCGGGCGCGACGATCCCCGCCCACAGGGCGCAGTCGATATTGAAGACGCTGGTGACGGAGCGCGAGTCGCTGCACAGGAAGCGGCTAATGCTCAGCTTCGTGGCTATGCCCTTCACCGCGCCCATTGCCATCCTCCCCGTGTAGGTTCTGCTGCCATTGCGGCTTATTGATGAGAGTTGACCCGGCTGACCTGGGCCACCCGACTAGAATCCCCAACATTCCTTTCTTCTACCTAGCCTACCGTGCCTGGTCTCATTGGCGCGCCATATCTGGAGGCAAGCACGTGCAATGGCTCCTCGAAAATAAACTTATCAAGGATAAGCCATCAGAGACCCTAGACCATCTCTACATCAAGGACGGGCCGACTATCAACGAGTCGCTGGACGTTAAGGAGCAGATACTCCTTACACAGAGACAAGTCCGCAACTTCTCGGATACTCTCAACATCCCCGAATTGGAGGTCGAGTTGGAGCGTGCGATCTGGCAAGTGGAACAAGCATTGCAAAAGGGCGAGGAGGCCGCCAAGGTCCACGTACCCTCGCCTTCGGAAAAGTCCAAGGACGATGGTGTAAAGAAGGACGCGCCAGACGCCGGCGAAAAGGGGAAGAAGGAATGATAATCACGATTGATGCGCTGTATCATTACTGTCGATCATGAAAAAAAAAATGTTTTATGGCGTTCGTATATAGAAGGAAAGGGCAAGGAGAGGGTGAGGCTCCTTGGGATATCCCAACACAACTCCTGGTGATGATATAGACAGAAACAATCCACTTATTGTATATGCACATATCGCAGGATCAAATCCCAAAATGACATTTGGTTGTTCATCGTTAATTATCATTACTCGTATCTAAAATTGTCCTCTATTTCGTCTTTTTGGGCGAAAATACCCATATGGGATTGACGGGCCGATTCCATCTATCGGGCATCATTATGCCAAGACTCAGACCCTGGAGGAAAGGCAACTGCTCAGTCAGGCTTTTCCGCCGTGGTTTGTCTCCTTCTTGGGGATCCCTCAGGCCTTTGGGTTTGTGTGCTAAGGTTCGCGCTGGGGATGGCTTGAAACAAGGTTCAATAATTGTCAGCTAAATTGGGTTTCCATGAATAGACCAGGCCTCCATGTGGGTAAGCACATACCCTCTTGGCTGATAAGGCTTCCAATGTTTGGCGCTCGTACTCAGCGACCTGGCGCTGGAGGGCCTCTGACTTCCAAGCCTCGGCGGCTTTCTTTCGCATCAGTCTCTGGGACGGGCTAGGCATGCGTTTGCACCGAGCCGAAGCTGGGTTGGGGGGAGGCTTGTTGGTCCGCTTGGCTTGGCCATCCTCGGAAGATGAAGGATTCAAAGGCGATGAGAAGATTGGCGCATGTGTATCGCGAGACATGATCGAAACTTCAAAAAGTCGTTGTGTTCTTCGAGTAGCTGCCGTACATGACAGTTGCCAGTTCTATGTTTTGATTGATTTTGGGGGTCCTCGCGCTCATTTATTGCCCAAGCTCACATCTCACATTATATTTAGGCTGGCCGCTTGTCATCTATTTTTGTGGTCCGAAACAGATCCTATTCGGGGACACCATCCTCCATTCCTTCAGCTGCTTTGAGTTTGCGGACGTTGGTCCGTCCGCCTGTCAGTGTGGGTGGGATGGGCGCCGACTTATGCAACCGGTCGTTCTGGATCACATCGGCCGCCACTCACAGGGGAACACATTATCTCCATCGCGGAACCAGGGCGGAAGGGGTGGTCGCATGGTCTTATCGGTTGAGCGTTGTTTGTTTTTTTCACGTGTTTCTCTCTCATTTACCACAAGTCAACTGCATGTACAAATCCAATTGTTTCTCATCCAAGAACCAGAACAGAGGCAACACACCAGTAGATGTATATGTACGTATATCTCATCATGCGAGGGCCGAACGAATCCTTGAAAAACGAGCGAACAGTCCGTCTCCAACGCCTTATCCCAATCAATCCACCTGATTAATTACCCAAATGATCATGCGTAATGGAATTTCATGTCTCCCCATCAGCCTAGGTGTTGCTGCATTACTCCACGATGAATGTGGCTTCGCTGAAGAGCTGGCCCTCTTCAGTGATCACCTCATCTCCGATCTTGACCTTGAGCGTGACTTTGGGAGCATACTATTTGTTCAACACCATATTAGTTCATGAAACAACAAGCAGATAGACTCAACAATTGGAAGTCAGGGGGTTTCACGAACCTGATAAATATATGGCTTTGTTCCGGCGGCTCCGGCTACAATCTTCTTCACGAAGCCAGGCACTTCGGCCATGACGTCAACACGGTCGGTTCTGTCTCCAAGAGGGCCTTCAATGACTGCTTCAACATCCTTTCCATCCTTATCGGTTCCCTTCCAGAAGAAACGAACTTCGCTAGGCTCGGGCCAGTCATTTTCCGAGTCCTGCTTGGCCTTGAGATGCTTGGCCTCGTTGTCACAGCCAGCGATGATGATCCCATCGCTCTTAACTACACCTCCGACATTCACCAGAGTCTCTCCATATGAAGGCGGCGTCGTGAACTCCATCATGACGGCGGAGAAGGTAGGGCCCTGGAAGTTTGCAAAGTTCCATCGCGCGGCAGCGTGGTGAGGCTTCATGCCCTGGATAGCGTAGATGTAGAGGGCCTTGCCAGTAAAGTCAATCTCGCCCTCCTTGGTGGTGATGGTGCCAGTAGCGGAGCACCGGGGCCAGAAGGCGTGGCGCATGGAGCCCCAGGGGTGTGCCAGGTCGGTTCCGAAGAGTGTCTTGCCCGTCTTGCCCGCCTGGAAGCCCGGGCTTTGGCGGGTGATCTTGAGGTTGACAACGGCCCGCTCGTCATTATGGCTCTTGATGGTATAGTAGGTGCCATCCTCGGAGAACTCGAGGGCACAGTCGTCGGCGTAGAAATTGGCGTTATCTTCGCTGAAGCTGATGTTGTTCAGAGGGGTGGAGCACCACAGGTGTGGTTTCGCAGGGTCGCTGGAGAAGATCTTGACGTTGAACTGGGCGGTGACTCGGATACCACTGTTATGGAGGGCTGTTAGCTAATGGAGGAGGAGACACGGTTTGTTGATTCGGGGTGCGACCGTACGCAACGTTGCTGTAAATGACCTGGGCCATGGCGACATGGCCATTGTCAGAGGTGAGGTAGAAGGTCTCCGTCTCGACATTGGTCGAATCCATGCGCTGCCATTTCAGATCATCTCTAGCGAGCTCCGTATATTTGGTAGTCTTGGCCTCTTCGGCGACCGATCGGATGGCTGAAGGGCCATAGATGGGCTCTTGTGTCCCGGCCACATTGGCCAGCCTGGTGCAGTTGCGGTCAGTATCAAGATAATGGAGGGGGAGGTGGGATGCGGGATGCGGGGACAGGCGGAAGGCGGAAGGCGGTGTCTTTCTTACTGTTGTTTTGCCCAGTTAAACATGGCGAAGTGGCTCGTGGTGATGGGTATTTAGTTGAGGTGATGGGATCTATTCAGTGAAAAGATGAAAAGAAGAAACGTCTGCTTATTAGTCCGTCCGGGTCGGTCTAGGGAGGGTCTCGCATGTTTTTTTGGCCTTACCTTTGCAGTGGTACCCAGAAATACCTGAGGTTGCTACCACTCACAACAAGCAGCTTCTTACTTTAGTAGCGAGTGGAGAGATCGTCTTATGACACGACAGAAGTTTATTAGTGCATTCATCTACACACTGGTTGATCCTAGCATTCTAAAGAGCCACCAGAGTATGCCGGATTTAATGGAGAAGGATACATGTGAACTTCGGCAAGGTAGAAAGGGTACAGGAACCTGAGCCCCAACCCCTCGATCTGCATGATTCCGCCTATGACGCTGGTCATGGTGTATGGTGTGGGGCAGCCTGACAGCCCGACTTGTCAACCAGTCTGTGGTCAGCAGAGATCTTGAATTTACAGGACCTTGTGTCACTTTATCAGGCCATAAAGGGGATGGGAGGTTGGCTATCTAGGTTAATCTTCGACTGCCACCAGGTCAGCCACATGTTTACAGCGTGCGTGCTGCAGGCCGAACAAATCCCATCTTATCTCAGGGGTGCAAAATGGCAGGCAATATCTTATCCAAAAGGGCTTGGATACTTGTATGTACCGCAAGGTAGCGCCAAGAGGCGGTGGGCTATATGGTATGAGGACATCACATCAATACGGCATGTCATAGACCCATCATATATACGTAAACTGCTTGTGGCTCTTCCCACAGCGTGATGGTCGGCTCCGGCCAGTCTCTGGACGAGCCGCTCTAAATATACAGCTAGAAGCAGCAAAGGCATCTGGAATCGGTGCTGGAGCGTTTTGTGGCGTTCTCCTATTCAGTCGCCTTTACCTAATCAATTCTAGGTGCTGGATTACCATTTTAGTGGGGTGATTGGCTCCTGCAGCGCACGATGTCACCACCTAAGCAGGTGTTTCGCGCCCACCCCAGCGCGTCCACTCGCAGCCAATAATTCGTGCCATTATCCTATCCAACTTCACATATTTTCTCCGACTTCTCCTGTCAACATTAATAAACTTTGGCGACTGCGATATTCTCCTCGGCAACCCCCACGCACAATCGCAACAGAGTAACGAAGCGACTCGGATTGTATTCCATCCACGCCTTGTGTCTAATCTCTAATCTGGCCGATATACTCGCAACCTCTTTTTCGCCTTCGGTCCTTCCAACCAGCTTCCTTCTAGCTTGCCGATAGCAGCCTCGAACGCCCGATCAATTCCCTCAAATACGCGTGGCTTCTCCTTGCCAACGAGCTCTAGACATGGAAGAAGGACCGCAGTCTCTGCCGCCCCCGTCTGTTGACCCGATATCGCGACCAAGTTCGGCCTCGACATCAGCATCTGCTGCGGTTGCGCAACTCCCAGGAATTTCAACCCTGGCGAACAGCCATACTGCGGCCGACGCATTGCACCAAAGGTACTATCCATACGACATTTCCCATCACTTCTACAGCGCATTGCCCCGTGGGCGAATAGAATCGGTTTGCTGGAGGGTCGCAATCCAACGTGCAGCCTCCGAAAGTCCAATCGCTAACACATTCGCATAGCGCTTCGGCCGTCTCTCACTCACACATTGAACCTCAACTTCAACCCGAAGCGCCACCGCAACCTCACGACCAATCTCAACAGCATATTCAGCCTCCTGTAGTACAGCATCAGCACCCTCCCGCGCAACCTCAGCAACCTTCCTATCACGGACCTTCTCCAGGTGCTACGACTGGGGGGCATGGAAACGGCTTGGTAAGTTGATTGCTTATCCTTTATCGATTCCCCTTATCTTGTTTCTTGCTATCGTCATTTCCTTTTTTTTTCGCCATGTCCCGCAAGCGTTCTGCACGGCGTTCCCTGGCACGCTATTCCTAATCCGGAATGTTTGGCAAATCGGTCCTTATCAGTGGAATCACGTGCGTATCTGGGCTTTATCAACCACTTAGGTGGCCCCAAATTACCTGCATGCCTTATCTTTCCCCATCCTTATCTCTCAGTTTCCACTCTGTATGGGTCGAATTTTTTGCGCTCGCTCGCACCCTGTCACTCGGCCTCTCTTATCAGGATCGCGATAAATCGCATTATCAATCTACGCCCCGACCTTACCAGCTCACCCCAACCCCGACTGCCTGCTCTCAATTTCACCCTTTGATACACTCATCACAATGATGGCCTCTAATGCATCCTCGCAGCCTACGTGCCAGAACTGCAGTACCTCAACTACACCGTTATGGCGACGTGACGAGTTTGGCTCAGTCCTCTGCAATGCCTGCGGCCTCTTCCTCAAGCTACATGGCCGACCCCGACCGATTTCGCTCAAGACAGATGTCATCAAGAGCCGTAATCGCGTAAAGACAATGCGCACAGATTTAGCACCTAAGAAGAAGGTAAACATAGCCATTGGCGCTGTACCCCCCTCCCCCCGGGAGTGGTCGCTGCATGTGTCGCACCCCTTCTCCGACCACTCTCCCTCCGTGTCAATTTATCGCCTGCGATTGCTAACTCATGATAGCAGATGAATGCGCAGAATAATCAAGCCGCACGGAGAAAATCAGCGAACGGTATGATCGATGGCCATGACTCCCCAATCTCGCGGACGGGGACACCATCCCTCTACAACCAGTCCCTGCCGCCGTTTATGGTGGATGACCCATACGCCTCGACTGGCGTATCCGGTTTTGCGCCTGGGGATGGGTCAGGTTCTCCCCTCAACGGCGACAGGGGTCTTGATGCGCCACAGACACACGAACAGCTTATCGCGCAGAACTCGAGTCTGAAAACACGCGTGAGCGAGCTTGAATTCATAAACGAGCTGTTCCGAGGGCGTCTCAGTCAGTTGGAGCAGCAGGAGGCAGCAGCGGCTAGAAGAGATCAAGAGGCAACCGGGCTCGATCCCAATCAGACCAGGTCCTCGCTGGAACTCAGCCAAGAGAATGAGCAGCAACTGCGCGTCCAGCTCGATGACAGCCATCGTAGGGAAAACAGCCTGAAAAGACGCCTGGATGATATGGAGCTAGAGTTGAAAGCGCTTAAGGATGCGGCCGAAACACCTACCGAGAGACCAGCAAAGAAGGCCCGCATTCAAAGTCCTTTGGAATCGCAAACGGAGGCACAGCCAGAACCACAATCTGAGCGCAACGTTGAACCCCAACCCGAGCCCCAAGCTGAACCTCAATTAGAACTCCAGCTTAGTGAACAACCTGAAGAGCAGCCCGAAAAGCAACTAGAGCGAGAGGCAGCCCAGCTCGAGCCTGAAAATAAGGAGACCTCTGACGCGAAAGCTGAGGCAGAGAACGAAGAATCTTGAAGAGATGGTATGGCCCTCTCGTCTAATGATCTGACATTAGACGGACAGGGCTCCGGAAAATGTGCCGTCCTGTTCTTACTATTTATTATATAATACCCAATTCGAGATGCGCCCTGAATGATGAAAGACGTCACAATGGTCGGTTCTTTTCTACATGTTTTCTTCTTTCTTCGTTAACTGCTCCATATTTGACAACGGCGGGGGAATACAGAGGTGTCGGTTGGCTACGGTTGTCTTGTTGGTTTTTGGCGCTTGGTGAATTAATCCGTGTGCTTCTTCAACAGCACCAAATACGAATCGGTTGGGGTCATGGGACGCTGGCGCAATGGTTGATATCAAATCAATTGAACTCTTGTCATTCTACACAATGACTTTCCGTGGCGTTCTTCATCTTCGTCGGCAATGACCTGTCATTTAACATGCACCGCCTCGGGATTAAGCCCAGACATTTGATCGTCTCGATAAGGGCTATCAGGCCTTGGCAACGAGGGATCACAATTCAAATAAAGATGTGTCAAATAGAATCTGACGCCAGCCGGCTGAAGCCTTGAATTTTCTCATCTGCCAAACCTGCAAACGTAGAAAACTCGTCACGTGGGGGTTGTTGTTGTTGTTGCTGCAGCCTGATTAGTCATACCTGCAGCAGCAGGCAACGGCCGTTTGGTACTGTGAAGACCTCCCACGGCGACCAGCAGGTCGTGCAACACAACACAACACCTGCACTCTGAAAACCCAGAACCCAGTTGTGTCTTGGGTGCTCACTCTCGTCCTCGTGTTCCGATCTGCGGTGCCGGAAGTATACCCGCCACGCCTAGACATACCCTTCTTTTTTTTCGCTCCAGATACCCACCATGCCTGTCAGTGTTCCCAGCCGTGGAGGTCCTGGCGGTGGAAAGAAGGGGACGGCATCCAAGGCCCTCCCAGGACGGCCAAGACTCTCGGGCAAAGTTCCACTGGGGTCTTCCCGCCATCGGTAATGATCCATCTCTGACTCCTTGGGGGTAAAAAAAAAACGAGTTGACGATTCTGACCGTGGCTTCTTCTTTTTAGGAAGGTTGTCCGAGACAGCATCAGAGGAATCAGTAAGTGTTTCTGCCCGCTCCCTCTCTCAACGCGTCTCCTTACTGACTATTTTTTCCAAGCACGCCCTGACATCCGGTATGTCTCATGAGACACTTTTGACGCTGGGGGGAAAGTATGTATTCTAACTTTGCGTGTTCGCAGGCGCTTGGCTCGTCGTGGAGGCGTAAAGCGAATCTCCGGTAACATTTACGAGGACTGCCGCAAAGCCCTCAAAGATCATTTGAGCGAGGTATGGTCCCCCCTGTTGAGAAATCCGGCCACGGGTTGAGTTGGACTAATCGAAAACCGCCATAGATCCTACGCCTGTGTGTCATGTATGTCGAGTACAGATCGGCTAAGACTGTCACCGTCAACGATGTATGTGCTCAGCCGTATTCGCCACGCTCCTTCTGCAGCCCCAAATCTAATCTTGCTACTAGGTCATCTACTCGCTCCGCCAGATTGGTCGTCCAATCTACGGATTCGACCCGGAGATGGACCGGAAGAAGCTGCGGTCCATGCCCTTCCAGGACACCAGGGATTAGGGCGTCCGATACACTGTTTCTCGGCCGTTAGGCTCGGTGTTCTTTTCTCTGTTTGGCGGCCTTTTGGTTGGCTTACGAAATCATCAGAATGTGTTTTTGGGAGTTGGGCTTTTAAATTTGAAAACTTTGGGCGGGCGTGAACCCGATCTTTTACATTGTCGGAGTTTGATAGCAGGATGTCACTTTTTCATAGCAGGATGAGACGCGATTTAATGAAGTAATGACTGTCTAATTTCAAATGGGTATCTCAAATAAAACAAGGAAATCTAGCAGGTGTGCTATGTAAACCAAAGTTAGGACGCTGTATGCGTCCAATCTTCCGTTGCCGTATCGTCTCTTCTCTCGATACTCTAAAACCCACTCCAAAGCCCACCATGAGACCAGCTCTTTCACGACCGAAGCCAAACTAAGTTATGCATCGGGGGCGTCCCCTAGCACTCTTAATATTTCCAATTATTGTTTATTCACCTCTTCCTCTTGGTGCACTCCCACTCGGACACGGCGGTCTGCAGAGCCTTGGTTGCGAGAATCTCATCCCTGCGGAAGGAGCCATTGAACATCGCAGGCAGGACCATGGTGCTGTTCGCGTGCTCCTGGGCGAAACCGACCTCCGCATCCCGGCCGCACTTCTCCTTGGTCACCTTGATGGCCGCCTTGAGCAGGTCGTTGCCAACGCCCTCGCCTCGGAACTTCATGCGGGTGGTCCAGGCACGGATGACGCCCCGGCCACCCCTCTTCAGAGCCGTGCTGCGGCTCTTCTTCTTCCCGACCAGGCTGGGGTTGGGCTCGAGGCGGAGGACGAGAGCCCCGATCAGGGAGCCGCCGAAGCGGGCACCCAGGACGATGTCCTCGGCGCCCTCGGCGCCGCCCCCCCCAGTCATCCAGGACCACCAATTGGTCTGCTCGGCCAGGCGGATGTAGCCGCTGGTGAGGTAGCGGACCAGGAGGATGTAGGACATGGTCACGCCACAGGCGACGATGATGCAGCTGCCCAGGTCAGACTTTGTGCCGAAGGCCTGGTAGAGACCGGCGAGGGTGGCGGCGTATCCAGCGAGGCAGAGAGGGTGGAAGAGGACAGTGCTGAAGGCGCGCTGGTGCATCTGGGCGACGGAGTCGGCGACCAGGCGAAGCCCCTCCACCTTGTCCTCGGGGGTCTCGAGGGGCTCGAGGGACAGAGGCGGGATGTCATCGTCGAGAGGGAGAGAGTCCAGGCTGCAGGCCGAGGGGGTTGGCGAGGGAGGGGAGCGCTGGCGACGGCGGCTGCCAGTGCTGCCGTTGCTACTGATGCTACTGGTGCTACTGCTGCGGCTGTGGCGGAGGATGGAAGCGCTCGGCTTGGTGAAGCTAGCTGGAAGCGAAGCGGTGGTCTGCATGGGTTCGAGCTGCGGGGTGTTGGCGCAGGACGAGGAGCTGAGGACAAGGTTGGCCCTGAGGAAGGTGAAGAAGGCTGAAATGACAAGGATCAGAGTTAGCCAATGGACGACGTTTCTTTTGTGATTGTTGGTGCTGCCGCTACTGCTGACAGGCATGGACTATGGCATGGGATGGGGATTGCTTCTTGGCTCGCCGAGCTGAGTGGAGTGTATCTCGAAATGCCAAGGTCGTCGGTTGAACGAATGTGAGAAGTTTGGGTAATTGCCATCATCCATGGTTCCCTCATGAGTGGGGCCGACGCACTGCTGTGCCAAATATAAAATAATATAGGGCAGTGACAGTACTTTGGACCCGAGCTGCATGCAGGGATGCCTCATTGACGAAAGAATTTTTTCATGCCAAGGCGTTTGGGAGGAATGGGAAGACGAGGACAACGCCATGTCTGACTGCCGCAAGCGCCGTCTGTCGGTTGCGACCGAACAGATTCAGAATGTCTTGAATCTCTTGTGCAACCAACAAACGGCGGCTATTTTTAGGGCTCTTGGAGAAGTGCTGCAAGACGACCCTTGACCCGACTAGTCGTGTTCGATTGGGGAAGGAGCGAGGGAAAGCAATATCAAAAAGGCAGATCGAAATATGAAAGAATGAAAAAAAAAATTGAAAGCAACCGAAAGGAAAAGAATGACGTACCAGTGCTGCCCTTGACAACAGGGACCGAGTTGATCTTGTGGGCGATGGAGTTTGGATGGTGGCAGGCGCTGAGATCCAGCTCGCGAACGCCCACCTGGGGTTGGTACTGGATGAATCGGTTCGAGTCCATTTGGACGGGCGAATAGAAGGTGTAGTTGTTGGTTGATTAGAATACTGACGATGCCGTCTAATTGTATATTTCCCCTTTGACTCTCGTGCCTCCAGGGTTCAGTCAAGTCCAAGCCGAGAAGCGATGATGAAGAAGTCGATGTTGGTGATGACGATGAGGTATTGGGTATCACAGATGAAGAATGAATATCGACAAAAGGTAAGATCAAGTAGAATAGTATATGATTACAGAAGGGCAGCAAAGAATAAAAAGATATTAGGGTGCTGCTCGAGGGTGGTGAGCAGGGAAGTAGATCGATGTGTGGATGGCGGAGAGGAACGAGGGCGTCCCGGGCAATAAGTACGTGAGGCAACAGAATATAATTACTGCGAACCCCAAATGGGAAGACGGGTCTCGAATAAGGCTTGTGAAGCAAGAATAGAAATAGGGAAGGGAAAACGTGGAGAAGGGTAGCGAAGGATTCGACTTATTATTACTTGTTCTGACATACATACTCGCCTGGCTGGTTTGCCGGCAACCTTTCCTCTGTCGCTGCTGGATGATCTGATGCATCCACCAACAGGGTCCAGACAAGCCCCAGCCAACCAAGAACCGATGGATGGGTCTTGGGCCCCCCGGGCGCAGTCACTGGATCAAGCCTAGCGAAGCGTAGTCGCGTCTCACTCGCAAAGGAGACGCTCTAGTCTGCCGTGGCTGGCAGCGTTCTGCAACAGACATCCTAGACGCCGGGGCCGGGATTGGCCCAGCGGGCGTCTAAGGCTCTAAGCATTTCTGGTGTGTGCATTGCATGCATGCATTGTGTTGTGTGGGGTGTTTGTCCGTGTGTCCGTTACGCCGCATCGACTGACTTGGCTACGACCAACTCGTCCTTAGCATGTAGATAGTGGAACGAGCGCACATGGAGTTATTGCGTCCTGCTAATGCTGCTACGCACTAGTTTCTTCATGCCCTCAGCTGCCCGTACCGTACGTACGTGCCTCTGAATGTGGAGGGACGTACGTAGGATGGGCAAGGGACCGGTCCCCTGCCTCGTCATGGTTCTGGTTTTGCCGACCGAGAAGGTTTCCCATCCGTTTCACCATTGCATCTTGACGTCGGTAGTAGACCAGTGACCGTTACCAAAATCGGCCAAGAGATGCTCTATCATATCACATCCTTGTTGGTTGTGCCAAGGCGGGCGGTCCTCCAGGCCCCCACCACCCAAGTCCCTCCCTTTTGGGCTTGCAATTTTTTCGCTTCCTCTTGATTTCGAGGTCATCATGTGCTCCAGCTTGAGCTAGGCGGATAGGTTATAGGTACCGGGCTTGCCACAGAGAGCATGGCGTGCTCTCTATCGCTTCGCTTGGCCAAGACGAGGAAAAGGGGGAGGGGGCCTCACCAGACCAACGGGATAGCAACTATTGGCAAATACGGAATTGCCTATCAGCCTCAAGAGTCCAGGCTCTCTTTGGGGTGCCGTGAAACAACCCCAGCAGCAGACATTTCCCATTCCGAAAGTAACATGGTAGCCAGCTAGCTAATCCTACCGCCGTCCGGCAGGCCCATGCTCGGACGTAGTAATATTCAGAGTTTGCTCCAACAACCAGCGGATCCCAGGCCAACTCCATAATTCTAGCAACGGTATTGAAGGGAATAAAGTGTAAATTACGTGGACGCCGACGTATGTGCCTGTATACTAGAAGTGTCTTCATCTTGTTTAGGCATTGCCGCCGTCAAATCGGTTTACCCGAAGACTGGCTGGCCCGCAAGCTCAACACAATGGCAGTAGATGACATGATTGTCTGTTGGTCCAGGAAGAAGACGTGGTTGGTCGATGATAAGCCGCATCCGTGCAGAGGGCAACCAAGCACACCCTTTTGTTGCGCGAAATGGCGCCAAGAGCGTTGGTCGGCCACTGGTATCCCTGCGCTAGTTACATTGAGACATCCGCGGGATCCCAACAGTCTGGTGCGTCTCTGATAACGGAGGGTTGTTTTTCTCATTCGTTGCGGGCGAGCAAGCATGTGAGTGAATATGCGTGTGTGTGTGTGTGGGCGACCAGGGTCTGTTGGTGGTGATTGTGAGGGGGAGGGGAGGACAGGCAGTGCTTGTGTCCATCACAAGCGAATCAGCTGCCGCGGCGGAGGTGGACGGATGGTTCCAGCAGTTGATAGAGATCAGGGAGGGCTGGGAGTGGTCGGGCGAGGGTCAATTGTCGCTGATCTGACATGCGGCATGCGGACAGGGCGCACCGGTTGCATCATGTTGCGACGACATGATACATGCGACAAAGATAGCGACTGCATTGTCTGGATGCAGCGTTGCATGCACTCTGCCCTTCGTGTCTGTAGAGTTGCAGCAACCCCACGATAACTGCTGGTTGTGTGGGTGGTGGCACCGTGGGCTGGACAGCACATCATACGCCAATGTGTTTGAGCCATTCTGGCGACTTGCGGGACACATCTGTCGCCATCTATCCCACCACCACCACTACGCACCCGGCTTCGTGAGGGCAGATAACGCACGGAGCTCGGAGGACTACAAGTCAATCTACAATGCCCAAAACGCCCGTCAATGGCGATAAGTTCAAGTTGTCCGCGGAGGACAGCGCTGTGCTAGTAGTTGAGGTCTGGCCACTGTAGATTAGCGGGCGCCAGTGCTGGGCAGTGCGTCATTGCAGCCCACTCAGGCACTGATAGGCCCTTCGATCATCAACCGCTTCAGCCATATGTATGGCTTTGGTTGAATCTCGCCATACGCTACGGCTCTCCTCTTTCCACCCCCGCACGCTCATTTTTCTTTTGGCTTTGACGACGACTCATTCTCTCGGTCTCCCCTCCATGGTTGGCTATCAACGTCTGTGCTGATCCATGTCCGTGCAGCTCTCCTACCGAAAATGATTGGGCCATGCGCTCCAGCGTCGTACTGCTTACACGTCGATCAAACAGACAGAGCCAATCCTGAAACCCACCGGATGCTCCTCTTCGACATCCCGAACCTTTTCCTCCTCCGCGCCTAGCTTTTTCTTTCCATCCACGGCCGTGCAGGAGAAGGGAAAAGACGGAGCGACGAGGTCCAATTAATTTGGTTTCTTTGCCAACCTGCGCCGGATGTTCGTCCATCGTCTTGCCTTCTCCACGTTCTGCTCGCCGTTCGTCCGCACCCCTGAACCCCTCCAAGGATTCCGTAGCCCATGCTATTGAACTCCCGTCCTTACTACGAGGTTTATAGCTTCAAATACTCTGTTACGGCAAGAGATATCAAATCACGTCCCCACTCTTCAATTAATACCCCAGATCACTACGACACTTGGACAGTGACCTGCCTTTGACAGAGAATGAAAACCGCTGATCATAACAGCAAGTCAAGGGCTTTTTTCTTCCCCCGCCCGTGCCCGTATATTCCTCGGGCATTCTTATTTACATGCCTATTCTAACAATTGATCAACGTCTCAGGACAACAATGCACACATGGCATGTGCGTCGCATGAATTCTTCTGGCGGGACGCTGAGCCACCTGATTCGGCCACACGCGCTCATAGCCGCCCATTCCAGTCTCGGCCAGTCTCGTATTACCGTTGCATTTGGGAAGTTGAGTTCGTTTCAAGATGTTTCAACTGGCCATGACTCTTCGCTATGCCGGGCATTGCCCGAGCACGGCGCCCAGTGGTCCTCCATCCGCCTTTGAAACCGTAGTCTTTTTGTCGTGCGATCAATTCCAGACCCCACCGATCTTCGTGCTGTCCTCATTCTGGTGGAGGGTGCCTTGACTAGGGCGGACAGACGGACGAGTGAACGAGTCTAATACGTTCTGTTCCTGGGCTATCCTCTGCCGGACTCTGAGCCAAGCTACTCTAGCCAATGGCACGTTGCACTACCCGAATGCCCATTGTAATCATGATCTGCTGTGATGTGGGGGATGAAGTACTTTCCGGGTCCAGGTTGACTTTCGGCCCTCGCATCGAAACGGTCGTACATAGACGAGACTCGTCTATTCTCTTGGCACGCGAGTAGTCTGCGTCTTTCGTACAGACTTGCGCCAGCTGAGGATATCCATCATCGCTAGCCAGCAAGCTAGCCAGTCTTTTGGAGGCTAGCAATCGGCTTCCCCAGATATGTATCAATCACATGTATCACACTAGCCTCCATCTTCGCAAGCCCCGTGAATAGCGCCGCAGCCGCTTATTCGGTTGCAACGCATGCGTAATCTAATTATGCACGAAATGTCTCCTCACCGTCTATTTTCTTTAGCTTATTGCTTGGCTGCCTGCTGGCCCGAGAATTTGCAGCTAACCTAGATTCTAGACACACAAGCCATGTGTCGGGATGGGGATCATGTGAAGGGTCTAGACATCCAACCATCTTACAACAACCGCGTGAGCCGAACTACTGCGAATGGTTCCATGGCCACGCCCGCTTTCTCCTAGCGATGGCTTGGCGCTTTTTGAATGTATGAAGTAGCCAGCTTCTTGTCTTGCCATGGCAGGAAACTTTGCTCGAGTTACACGATGTCTTTCGTATGCGTACTACCTACCCTATAGAACCCCTGAGCAAACACTCTCGGCCTGTTTTGAATCTTGCTCTTGGTCCGTAGGGTAATATAGGGAGGGAGATAATGCATCTTTTTCGTGTTTCTATATTACTTATGTATCGATCCCTTTTGGTTCGATGGATCATCTTACCAAAGTCCGTTCGGTTGCTCTACCCTGCTCAAGATGTCGAACTTCCAAATTCGATCACGTTCAAACCATCATTCCGCATGTCTTGTTCACAATGGGTATCTTTTAAAAATACATATTGAGCTACCTGGTCAAATTATTCAGTGATCACATCTACTTGATAGCTTTTCACTTGACTTCCAAACCATGTGGAGGTAGCTTTAGTTGATTATGTTACTTGTAGTCGCAGACTAAAATGAACTCACCCGAATCAAGCTGCGAGCGGAGAGCTCTTGTAGATACGAGAAGCTGAAATTAAGCAAGGGGGAAGGGATGAAGCTAGAAGGAGAGCTAGCCTTTCTTCGAGATCACAGCGCTTACTTGTGAGATTTAGGAGGGAGATGGCTCTGACTTGGCTAAAAGCATCCAACAGTGAAGATATATGTTGCGATAGGAGTTGATTAACCCCCTTCAATCGTTGATTTGAACTCGCTAACTAAGACTAAAGTTATAAAATATCTCTATGTATGAGCTATATAGTTTGAAATTCGTCTGCTTTAGGTCTGTTTCGATGCTGCTTAGGCTCACAGAGCCGGTATTCCCGACAGAGAGTGACCGAATTCGACTTTCCACGTTTCCAGGTGCCATTTTAGACTTCAATCAGGCAAAATACAAGATGATCTCCTCGCTGATACTCATAGATAAGATTCAGCATAGGATGGAACACAGCGTGAGAATCATGCTAGATTTCACGGTAGAATTGCTTCTTATTGCCGACTTTTGAGATCTACCTTGGGTGTCATCTAACCTAATCCTACATTTCAAGCGCAATCGTGGGCAAGCCGTTTCTGTATCTGGCATTAGTATCAACTTGCTCGCGTGGCTTTCGCGGAGGGCTCGAGGAAACACCGTCCTACCACTTGCGAAAAGACCGTTGGGCTCATCATCTGCTGCCTATGCATATGTTGCGATCGTAGATTCTTTTCTAAAATGACTGCATCCTGCCAGAGGAGAGTAAGACTCTTCTTAAACCCAACTGAATGTCAAAATAGAACGAGCAAATCTTCCACACATTGAAATTTCTCGTGCATATAAGCATGGACATGCCGAAACCCCCGTTCGTGAGAGACTACGCCCATGAAGATGGCCAAAAAGTTATACCTGAGAATACTTGAGGTCTGTCGAGCATTTCAAGTCGGCCAGAGTCTTAGCTTGCCTCTTTCCGAGAGCCAGCAAGTAAGTTGGGAAACCAATTTCCTGGGAATAAATTTGAAGCGCTTGGGGCTTTCTGCAATGCGAACCCTCTCATAATAATATCATTAGATCTGTTTACTTAGGATGGACCGGTTTGGGTGTCACGTTCACAACGTTTGTATACTCATGACCACCGGCGCTATGAAGCCAAAGAGATCTAGAGATAGAAAAAGCTTAGCCATTTCTCAAGGAGATTTTGGCGGGAAATCTCTGAGCGGCCTGACCCTGGCTTTTAACTTCAACATTGATTTTTTTCAAACATATTTCGAAAAAAAAAAACCCACATGAGACCAAATCATACGTCACTTTCACTGACAATTTATGTGCTTCGGATGCACGTCGTGATTTAGTTCCGTGTCTTTCGATTGTCTTAAATTCCCGAGTTAATCAAACAGACGCGGTCTGTACGTGAGCTAAAACTAGTTTCTTCCTACTGTTTCAACAAGTTGTTCTTTCAGCTGAATTATCGTTCCTTGCAACGCACAAATAGGCGTCATCTTCCATTCCAATGTCGTAGGTGTGCTTGAAGCTAAAAGTTTGGCATATCTAGGTCAAGATAGATTCTATGGTGCGGTAAACAGACTGTGTCACCCCCCAACATTCGATGGTTCCAAGAATTACCATTAATTTTGCCTGGAACAGTGTTTCCATCTGAATATCGCTACTTACTTTGATTTCGTTCGTCATGTGTTACGTGCAGATGATGAGCATAGGCCATTAGCCCATTCCAAATACGGGATATACATCGTCAAGATACGTAGGTATCGCATCATACATGCAGCAGTTGATGTGTATGGAAGGGTTAAAAACACCAAAACCGCCTGTTTACCAGTCCCCAGGCTGATAGGATAGCCCCCCACCTATCACTGCCAATGATGGAAAATTGGCCCCTAACGCAACACGATAGTCTGGATAAACGGTGAGAGTAGTTTGCCTTGGCACACCTCATGATACAGAGGAGCTGGAGGGGAAGTTCCAGCAAGTTTTCTCCCTAGATTGCTACCGCCACTCCCGTGGGGAAGGACGTTGAATATATTCTTGAAGCCCACCCTGGCAATAACGGCACACGAGCATTACCCTTCGTTCTTCGCGCTTAATGGAAAACCGAGTTATGGGTGGAGACCGACGATCACCGCTGTCGTGGCGTGGGTTGGTCTGGCGGGAGGTGGACAAAAGGCCCGTCTTTTTCCAGCGACACCTGGACGATCTATGTCAAGTCTCTAGATTGCCATTCTGTATGATGATTTTTCCTGACGTGCAAGATTCCAACCAAACAGCCAAGATGGGGGTTGCTAGGAGACCGTGCTATTTAAGTTATTTAGCCGGGTCCATGTCCGTTTCAGCCAAGCGAAAGCCTGCCGGGGGATCACATCACACTGGCGCCACGGTACCAAATTAAAGCTGCCAAGCTTATTTACTGTGCAGCATAAATAGCGAGCGCCAAGCATGCAGACATACATATAACCGGGTAGCTGGTACGGCAGAGCCTGCAGTCACTCGCTCGAAGTGGGATGAGGCTGTGCATGTCTTGATGTCACTGTCGTACTCCTCCTCCTTATATTGGCTGGGGAGACAGCGAGTGATCAACCGCCCCCCCTCCAGATCCCCCCCCATAGCCGCATAGACCGTATCCGAGCCCGGCACCCGCTCACTGCATCCCGTAATGGAGGGGAAGGCTGCTGCGGCTGAGCTGTGGTACGCACCGGAGACAGAAGATTGCTTCATTTGGCAAGTGGAGACCCGGAGCGTCCCGGGAAAGTGGGACCAGATATCCGGGCTGACTTGCTCGCTGTCTCGGTGGAATGAGTGAGTTTTGTTATAGCACGCCTTGAGTGAATATAGCAGACCTGATACTGAGATTGTGGGCGTTGGGTTATGGGGAGGGATGAGTGATGCCGTAGTTTCAGGTTGACCCTCCCGGAATTCTCCCGCCTTCCCGTTGGCTCCGTTGGATAAATGCGGCCTCGGAACTGGCCATCCATAATTGCGGCATGATGATGCGGATACTATTGTCAACAGTATATCACATTTCGTATTCATTCTTGGTAGATGGCTTGGATTGTGGGATGCACCCTCCGTGTGTTTCCCCTTTTGTCGACAGCTCGTTACAGTGTCTGCTAGTCTCATATCAAAGGGGGATGGCGATTCTTGTCCTTAGGCTGAGTCTTCTTCTACCATTCAGCCTCCCACACTCTCCAAGTATGCGGTTGGCACACTGGGTGGTTTAAAATCTTTATTATGACGGGTTGTGAAGTATGCCAAGAGTTACAGGTACGTAGTATTGGCCCAACTGAGAAGTCTAATATTTGATGTGACAACGTTCGGTAAAATGCTCTAGGTCTAGGTTAGAATATCATTTTAAGGTATTTTTTGCAATCAGCAATTTTTCTACATGGTCGGTTAGGAACAGTCGCTTGGTGTTCGGCTTGTATTCGTCTTCAAGAGTTCTTCTGCTCGGTCGGGCTTGATGGTGTGGGCAGTTAGCATCAGTTAGGAGTTAAAATTCTACAGTTCCATTTGTGTTTGCTACTAAATCACACTTTGAAAGAAGCGGTTTGGGGTAATTTTCCTCTTCTGAATATCTATAGGTGAGGAGGTGGTTTAATATCAGATACTTCAACAATTCAACATCACTCTTTGGGCTTAGGTCCTGAAGAGCAACGTGCTAGTGTTACAATTGAGCTGCATACAAAAGACTGAAAGGAAATCCACCCGGAGATTCTTTTTGGGTGGTTTTGGGCGATCGTTTTCCTGAATTGATACAGTAAGAGGTGGTATCTAGAGCCCGTCGACCATGATAAACCACCGTTGACTTTCACCATCTCCAATTCCCAAAGCAGAAGAGACCGTATTAAGCCTCTGACAAGATGCCGATGCGTGGGTTTGACTCATCAGATGTCGCTGGAATAATATGACGAAAACGTTGACATCAGATTGACGGTGTCACAGAGAGAATCCCAGCCCTACCCTTGTAGCAAGAAGAACCTCGAGAAGCCCAACTACCAAATGCACGTGTGTAGGCTTGGCGACTTGCCGTGGCTTCCACTCGCCTAATCGTTGCATGATTGCCGCCTTGAACTACCTAAAGTTAGTAGCCACACCCTTTTCAAGTGCCTGATCTGGCAGTGACCTGCAGATGCGATTGAACAGGTGCATTATCTCCGTCACCTAGTGAGATACCCGGGTTTTGTGGTTCTATATTTGATGCGATATTGGAAAAGAGGCAAAGTCTTTCACCAGGTCAGAGCAGGAGAGATGTCCTGCCCTGCACCGAGCTAGTACACTGCGAAGCCGCGACAATTCGTTAGTGAACTCGATACCGCATCTTGGCGCCGGTCTCCTGGTATGATGTAATCTGATACCTGGAAATATCCTGGCCGTTGGAAGTGGGGGAATGAGGGGTTGGAACGTTGATCCTTTCAGCGACCAGATCTGGGCATCCCGCCCACCCACACCACCACCACAGCTTGATTCCCGCGGCTCTCGTTTAAGTACTGTTCGGACGTCTCTGCCCTCCCAGTCACCGCTTTTCCTCCAATACTCTCCTCGCCAATCTTTCAATTCCCGACGCGCCCCTCCCCTACCTCAGAAGTGTTTCCTTCCAAGATGAAGGTGGTGGCGGTGAGTACTCCCTCCCATTGTCAAACACCCTACCCCCCCTGCTCTGTCCTGGGCGAGGATGCATTTAGCCACAAGTAGCTGATGATCCGACTCGCTTCTTCCTCGTGCAGCTGTGGGTGTATCCCATCAAGGGCCTGCGTGGGATCCGCCTGGAGTGCGCCGACCTTGGCCCACAAGGTATCAAGCACGACCGGAACTTCATGCTCTGCCGGGTCGAGGAGGGAGAGGAGCCTCTCAAGCTGCAGCTCTCCAGGTTCCCCCAGTGCGCCCTGTTCTCGCAGGAAATTGCCGGTGATGTTATACAGGTGCGCTACAACGTGCCGGAAGAGCCTCTAGTACCGCCCTGCCCCGAGCAGGACTCGGTGCTCGAGGTGCCTCTTGGCCCAGACATCGCCCAGCTCCGCAAAGAGGAAGTCAACCTTCACCAGAGCAAGGTCAACGCGTACCGGATGGGCGACAAATATGATGCCTGGTTCACCGCCTGCTTCGGCTTCCCCACCGCGCTCTTCTACATCGGAGACGAGCGACGCCCCATTCTGGGAACGTTCTCGCCGGATTCGGAGCCCACACCCAGTCCGAAGGGGTGGCTCGCTGCCCTCTCAAACTACATGGCCCCAGGCACCGCTGCCGGCGAACCTAACTGGCTCACCTTCTCGGACTGTGCCCCATTCCTCATCACCACCGGCGCCTCCCTGGCCAATGTCAGCGCCCGGCTGGCTGCAGGCAACATGGAGATGGCCAAGTTCCGGCCCAACATCGTCGTCGACGGCGACAGGGAGTGGGACGAGGACTTCTGGACCCAGCTCACCCTCAACGGCCGGCCGGCCTTTTCACTGACCAAGATGTGCGTCAGGTGCACGTCCGTCAACGTCGACTACGACACGGGCCGCCCTGCCAGGGGCGAGCGCGGGACGGTCCTCAAGAAGCTAATGGCGGACAGGCGGGTGGACAGGGGCTCAAAATACTCCCCGGTCTTTGGCAAGTACGCGTTCCTCGACCGGGACGTGCCACTGGGCGCCACAGTCGCCATCGGGGATGACGTGCAGGTCACGAGGAGGAGCGAGGAACGACCCGTCTTCGACTGGCCCATCCACGAGAAGGAAGCCGCCCAATTCTACTCGGACAAGGTGTAATGTAATGTGTGAATAGTTGCGCCACCGACGGCCGTCCCGGCTCCCTACCCGGCGGCGAGGGAAAGGCAAGCTGCCACAATGGCACGTTGGGTGCTCCCCCCTCGGTTTGCCTTGCCTGGCTGGGTCAAACCACCAGGACGCCGTTGTGTGGTCCGGGGTGGAAGGCTGGAGGAAAGGGAAGTGGTCGGACAGGAGTGCAAGATCCTGTGTCCCCAGTGAACACGGCTATGCACGCTCATAGAGTTGTACAATAGTCATAGACAAAAAAAAAAGGCCGTGACGTTTTCTCCCCTGCCAAGTCGCGGGACCATGATCTCCAAGTCGAAGCACCACCACCACCACCACCCCTCCCTCCTTAATCCCTTCTCCTTCCAAGAATGGCTTCCAGCAAACTTGATGTGAACGGTCATATTTGGGCTTCGAGACATTCCCAATCCAATCGAAGGCGCGTGAGGTTCCAGCACAGGCTGCACGAAAACAGGCCTAGCGTTGATCCCATGTCGCACAGCCGGCCGTCCAGAAGAAATCCGCCTGGACGCACGAGCAAGGCCCGGGGGGTTGCTGTGCCTGCCGTGGGGGGAAGAGAGGGGAGGGGGAGGGGTTTCTGGATACATGTAGGTAGGATAGGCCACGCCATTGATGTAACCACACCGCAGAACCGGCGCTGCTTAAGGTTTCCTGCACGACGTGTGGCCGAGGACGCGGCACGTTATCGAGGAGAGACTGGACGTGTTACATGGCACCACCGGCTGCACGGGCCAGTCTGACCGAACACTTGAAAAACGTCGAATGGCAACGGGTCCGCGGAATAATTTCCGGGGAGGGAAAATCCATGAATCCCGAGGGCGTGAGCAGTGTCGAATTCACGAAGTGGCTGGGAGTCATCAATCGCCCGCGCTGCTTGGAGGTTCCGCTGAGGGAGGGGAGGAGAGGAGAGGGGGGAAGGGGTGGGAAGGGGGTGGAAGAGTCTTAGAAACGTAGGCTGTCTTTAATATTCCAGACAAGTCTTATTAGAGCCCTTGTTGTAGACGGCTAAAAAAGCACTTTGGTACGTGGATGGGAGGCTAGTTCTCAGCTGCATGGTTGGTGGTGGTGGTTGGTCGTTTGTGAGAAGTGACGGACCCAGACATGCTCTTTGGGCCGGTTGTTTGTTGGGCCAGCTGATTCAAGATGTCTCTGTTTCCCCCTCCATGCCTCGTATTGTTCCTCTCTTTTTCTTTCCCCCCCTTTTTTTCCTTTTTGCGCTGTCTTCACTCAGCTCTCCTGGCAGCTTCTCTTAATCTTATGTTGTGCAACATTGTCAAGTCAGCGATCAATAAAAACACCAACGCATGTGGCCCCGATGTGTTTGGTCACAAGTACCCCATAACCACGTGTGTCTCCTAGCACACCTCCCGTCCGAGTGAGAAAACATTGGATCGATTCCAAAAAGGATTGCAGAGAAGACTGGAAGAAGGGAACCCTTGGCAAGAATAAGCCAGCATTCGCTCAATACTAGGGGAAAATGGAGATCCAGAAAGTGATATCTTCCAATTTCTCACTACGTGCGGCCAACATGCACTGGTTCTCAATTCTTTAGTATGGAAGGGTCTTTATATCCCACCCTCTCTATGGGTTGTTAGAACTTGCACATAGGATCCCTATGCGCTTCGTACTAAATTAACTGTCAAAACTTCAAGACGTGTACAATGACAAAAGAGGGCAACTTCCAAGTTCCCTCCAAGAGTATGAGCGAGCCCGCAGGCCGATGAGATGAGTTGCAACTTTTTTCCCAACATGCCTGCCTGCCATCCTTCTGTGAATGAACCGTTGCGCCACCATTCCAAAACAAACCAATACCCTAGTTCCAACTCCAAATTCAATGAGATGCAAGGTCAAGAAATGCTAGACGCCCTTGCAATGTTTTTTTGTCCTCGATACAAAAGGAAAGACAACGAATCACTAAAATCATGGTCGAGTGGCGTGAGATCTCGTGCCAGGGGAAAGAGGAAGAAAATACGCCAAGGCTCCAAGGGTTATCGATCGCTGAGCCTGAAATAACAACAACATCGCCAACGTTCGGTGAACCTAAGGACGGGATTTTCAAGTAGGATAGTTGCGGATTCTCCGAGGAAAAGCTTCGACCTGTTCTCGATGTCATGTCAGCGCTTCTTCAAGAACACAAAAAGCGATTGCAGAGAGATGACCAACATTTCCCACTTCCCAGTCCAGGAAACCTATTGGGTCGTGTTTCCCGCGAGCGGCGCTAGACACACTGGGTGCATGTTCGGCAGACCTTGATGTTGCAGTATTTGCATTGGAAGATGAACCAAGCAGGTCCCGAATGACAGAAACTGCACATCCACTGGACTAGAGTGCTGTCCGACTTGATCATGGTAAACGAATGGGGGCATGCGTTGGCCATAATGAAGGAAGTTGGTGGTGGTTTGTATTGAGGGAGATGCTTCAAGCTTGCGTAGATGAGGTCAGAAACTCAGAGTCCGTCAGATTGTGCTGCTTTTTGGTTAGTTTCATAGCTTCCAAGGCCAAGAAGATTGCAAAATACCTTGATACTCGTAGACAACCGATGATGAGATTGTGATGGAGGTAGTTCAAGAAACTCGAAGCGTTGCAAGAAGCGGGAGCTTTGTGTTGTGTTGAAGTCGGGTATCAAGTGCAAATGCTAAGAAGCTGGTTGAGGTTGAGAAGGAAGAAAGTCACTTGAGGTCGGCGCGGCGGGACCTTTTATAGGGAGAGGTACCGATAGGCGGTGATGTGAATCAGTGTTGACAAGTTACTTTGCTCGGGGGTTGTTTGTTTGGAAGAGACGAGAACTAACACCCACAGTGACGGGAACGGGCGTTATTAGGCGGACGTTAAGGACGGGCAGGCCCGGGTTGACAGGTGACTGGGATGATCAACTAATGAGGGGGATCGGTAGACGTCAATTGTCAACGAACAATATGGGCCAAGTTAATGGAGACGCCAGGGTCTGATCCGACGGGTTGGGGAAGGATAGGCTTGGCCTGGTTGACACAAACCCCGGACAAGGTTCCCGTAGGGCAAGTCTATTTCAAGGGTCAAGGTGACGGGGGGATGGGCCGGAAGCAAACCCTGTGTTGGGAATGATGATGCTATTGTACGATCGTGATGGAGAACGTACAAGCTCTGACGGAGCCTCCACCGCGCTGCCGCGAATGTCTGACGGGCGGGCGGTTGAGCGAACGAGACGAGGAGCTACCCAGTGACCAATTCGAATACCGGCATCCGTGAGAGGCGAGGGATTGCAAGGACGGGCGCACGTCTCTGTTCTTGACGGGTAAGAGGCCGTGGCCCGAAGGCAGAGAGTAAAGTTCGAAGAACGCTCGGCTTCCGCAACGCACGGCTATGAGGTCAGAAGGCGAGGCGAGTGGCTTTTGAGTCTGTGCACATTACATTACACTCGAGCCAAAACATGGGCCGACATGCTCAGGCATCATGCTCCTCTTCATCTACATCTGAGGTGACCGGTGGTTTTCTCCGCCCCGCTAGGTTTGGTCTGGCCATTGTTTAGGGATTAAATTTCGGGAAAGACGAAGACGACTGGACTACACTAGTACTTGTTTCGCAAAAGGATCACGGCTAAAAAGGGCTAGGATCTTTGGGTTCCGACAGGCTCTCGAAAGTCAAATGATGAAAGGAGCATGCCAAAGCCCCGGGACACATGGCAATCTGTCTCTGGGAGGGCACCCAGCGAGCCCAACCCCAGTGGTGTCTGTCCAGAACGAACCGACGAGGCAAGGCAGGCAAGCCAGAGACTGTCCTCGCTTCCACGCTATCTTTTTTTGGGTTCCTTTTTCCCTCCTGCGCTCCGAGAAGTGAGTGGGCTTGTTTGTGCCGGGCGGCGCTAGGCTGTGGCTTCGCACGGAAATGGATACGTACATACAGGCCAGTCGTATCATGAAAGCGGCCAGAGCCATGAAAAGTAACGCGATTGACGAGTCATCATTATGGGGGCGTGCGGCAATGGCACCGGAAGGCCGGAAGCGTAAACGAAACAGCGGGTTCTCGCATCGTTCGACAAGGTAAGGGCTCTAGTAGGGATGGGGTTGAAAATGGGGAGGGGTGGATGGAAATGGGAGAAGTCGAGGCAAGAAAAGAGGCAGGCTGCTGTCGAAAAAAGTTTTTCTGCAGAGTACGAGGAAACATCATCCCGGATATGGGTTAGGAGATGTCACAGGAAGCAAGGTGTCGTGTCAATGGCTGGCAGACAAGTCCACCAGGAATCGAATCGGACGCAGGAAAAAAGACCAGGGAAATAAAATTGTTGGGTGGTGCTCCAGAGGTCGACAATCTGGACGCACGTTTTGCAGGACGGGACCCCTACAATATCAAGCGCCTGCTGCGGTGACAGCCCAGGCCATTTTCCAGTGTCTTGGAACGCCAGACAAGGACTCCTTGCCTGGGTTAGGTGGCCTGCCAGGCTGGGTAGGTGCGCACGTACATTAGCAACTTAACCTAGCTTGGTACATAAGGTAGCTACGTCAGGCCAGGCAGCAGGGACGGGCGGTACAGCAGCGTCCGCCGTGCCTTCCCTCATCCGCTGCACAGGTGGTATTAAGTGGGTTGGGCTGGGGACTTGGCTAGAAACTCTAGAAGGAAAGGAGGGGGGACAAGTACCGGCAGAATTTCTTCTGTAGGTAGTTCCTTACATATGCACTTGCATGGGGGGTGGCACCAGGGGAGGGGAGGTGCCATGGACAGCCGCCCACGTACTTGCTTCATTCACATGGACGCGCTGGACAAATTAGCAATTCACTGGCAGTGGCACCTACCTACCTGGGAAAGCACCCAAAATACCAACTGCGTGCTTGCCCTACTTGGTTCATCCTGCTGCGATAGCCAATCTCAGAGAGGTTCCAGGCTACAGGCAGCAGGGGAGCCAGGTGCGACCCTTACCTTAGGTACCTATGTAAGGTAAAGTCGACTTCCAGGGCTCGTAAGATGAAATCAAGATGCCTACTGGACATTACCTATCACTCGCCTGCCAGCCCAAGCGCAATGGAATGGAATAAGTCTTCGACCCAACCAATGTGACCATCATCAATACGGTCTGCCCGCATAGCATAGCACAGTAGAGCAAGCAGAGCATTAGATTAGTACCGACTTTTCGCTCCGAGTGTCATGCCATCAATTGCCTTACACCCTTCGTCATATGATCGCAATGACGATACAGGACGATAGGCAGGGGACATGACCCAAAGTTAATTAAACACACCGGACGCTGGAGATCTCCAAATTATCCAGCAGGCTTTGCACAAGGCCTGCCTACTTCGCAACGCGTACCTACCTATGTATGGACGGATGTATGTAGACACACATGCGCATGACACGCACACAATATGACCCATCTCTTTACGCGCACACGTACTCATTGTCCCTCGCTCAATGCCCATCCCATACACCACTCCCTCCTGGAACCCGGTAAGGAGATGATGTTACATACACACACTCGGTGAGCCAGTCAGCCTCTCTCGCATTGGCTCGCTCCTCCGCGGACTTGTTGTCTCTGCCCTTCAGACCAAAGCGTCTTGCCTCTGCTACACGAGCGCATCATTCATACGTCGAGCATCCCATCCCATCCCATCCCATCGCCAGCCCAGACGCAAATGGCGGGCCTTGGTCTTGGTCGTACTTGGCCTTGGATGAGGGGTGCTTGATGTCCAAAGATGTGTTGCACCCTCCGGGTCAATGCGCCTCCAATGAATCGTCTCGACTTGCCCGCCGCCAGTGCTAGCCAGACACCCCTGATTGCCCTTCTGGGAAATTTCGCTGTATCCAAACGGGGCCTCTTTCACAAGTCAGGTACGTAGCACTTGTACCTCCCGTACCTGTCAGTTTCTAAAAGCAATCTGGAGCCCCGCCCACCTTCCACACCGTGACCTGAGGCAACCTGCTGCCATGCACATCGCCAAATCCAACCACACGTCCTTGTCTTGGCTGCGTCCCTAATTATTCATCGCCGGTCTAAGAAGAGAGAACGCCGAAATAGACCGACCGGCTGGGCCATCGCCTTGGTCTTCCTGTGGCGTGCGTCCCAGAGCCTCGTCAGTAGTATCATCAAGCGCTCGTCGGAGTGTTTGATCTTGTGACTCGGCTCCCTCCGTCGGTCCCCAGACAACATCAGCCGGTGTCATGCCAGTATGGAATCATATCCCGCTACTTCCATTTCCACGAGATTTGGTCCCTTGTTGTCCACATCCTCTAAAGGCTAACCTCGGATATCAGACGGACATCGCATGCTACCTACCTAGTGCTAGGTGCGTCTCCTTCTCTCCCGGCTGGGTACCCTCGTTCCCAAGGCCGCCACCACTACAATCACAGTCCTCCCAATGGCCATCTCAACGGCCCTCCATCTCGCCTCCAACTAGTTTGACATCTGATAACTGCTGAGCACTCGGGTTCCCACGGCAAGACGGTCAATGCAATTGATGGCACCCATTCGAGCACGGTCGTTTCCTATCACAGAATACAGCCAACTGACATCCTATACCGTGCCCGCATCAGAGCTGTTTTCCCCATGTCGTTATGTCGCTGCGGTATGGCTCCCTACCGAATACACAGGAAGAAGAGGTAGGTAGTAGCTATCTGCACTGAATTGTCTAACCCACTTGTGTGGCCACCATTTCTGCTCTTCATTTTTTTTAGCTTGCCATTCAATCCATGCTAAGCCTCAGCTGGCCATGGTCTGGTGCGAGGCCTTTTTTTTGCCCTTGCTCTTTTTTGTTTGGCATGCAAGATTTCATTTGTGAAGGGGAAAGTCTCTCTGGTCCCTTGCCCAGGCTCAATGCTACGTTTAGCAAGTCTGACTTTCCACTTTACGACAGTGCATGCTTTTGTTGTCTCGTGGAAGTGTCTTGGCCAATCCCGATCGCTGCGGAGCCACAGACCGGAGGGTGTCAATGCAGAGCCAGGCATCAGATGTGGCGCCAACATGGGAACTGGCATGCAAGCAGCTGGCGTTGTATTAGCGAAAAAATCATGTGGGTGTGGCCATCGCATGGCCGACATGCATAAAGAACCAGTCGATCAGGCGCCCTGTCCTCCGAAAAGTCAAAGTAGGTCTCCGTGACGCGTATTCAAACCAAAGACAGACGACGATAGCCTGATAACGGCAGACAGCCTCGAATTCTGGCATTGACTGCACATGCCGCCGGTGCCGGCGCGCCCCCGGGTCAAATCAGGCCAATGTCACGACATTTTCCAGCCATATGAAGACTCGAAATCTTAGCCTATCCTCCGTGTCAACCCAGCGTGGAGACAGACAACTGTCACATGCCATTGGCTGACAGCCAGCCTAGTCTTCTCCCGTCTCTCTCTCCTCTCCTCTCATGTGCGTGCTCATGTGCTTTCTAACAGCACCCAAGCCGTCAATTGTAGAATATC